CCCGAGACCGACCACATCCATGGTTGGAGACATTGTCAGACATGGCCCAGTCGCACCCTCAATGGCGGTCGTGCATCCAAGCTATTGCCTGCATAGCTCCCTTCATAATTCCCCCAGTTGACAGCCCACTGCCAGTGATGGATTTATGCACCAATTCATCATCTCCCGCCTGCAATGCGGAGCGACCTACCTCCCGCCCCGAATCATCGGTGAACGAAACTGCGGCAGCTACAACCACTCTGTGACGAGTACGCTGACGGTGATGATGATAATTATAAGAGTTAGTGGCGTATCACCTGTATCACTCACCTGGCGAAAGGGCGTTCTTTAGAATAACACGGCTTGCAAAAGCCTGTAACTCTATAGAGAAGTGTAAGAGACTATGAACTTTTGCGTGTAGCTGCTGCAGTCTGCCTTTCAGGATGTGTCCGTGAACCTCCCTGTTCTTGGGTAGTGGCGTTGCAAGTAATGACTGCTAACCTCTCAGTGGCGTTCGTCATTAGGTTACTTTCTGGACTGCTCGGTTGGGTTGTTGAAGGCGAAGACACTTCAGGTTGCATGTGATGACATAGCCTCCGAATATCGAGAATAGCTATCTCAATTAATCAATTGTTTCGAGCTGTGCCGGGCACTCTTAAAATGTATCCATTGATTTGGTGGGGAGCTTCTTCAGTGAATTAATCATTTCACTTTCATCTAATGCTGCCGTTTTTGGTAGCAAACGCATATTGATGTGGTGGGAGTCAGTTGAACTGGGGCTTTCCGAGTGGGGGACACTCCATCGTGCGTGATCTTCGAGACTTAACCACAGGTTCTAATCCAGCTGGTTCATGCCATGAGGTTCGAGGTGTCTGAGCTTCGCATCACCCATTGTTTCCATTACACCTGAGGCTTCCTCATATTTTCACGGGAATTCGAATCTCAATACGAATTCACGCGGTCTTTTCTGATGAACAAATGTACTTGTTGAGTGCCTTTTCTCCATTATCAACTTTCCTTCCTTTTAGCCTGGTCAATGGCCATCTGCTCCGGCGATAACCAGAAACGAAAGGTAGCTCTTATCACGGGCATAACAGGCCAGGTAAGTGAACCGCTTTCCCCCATATATTACACACGCCACACAGGATGGTGCCTATTTGGCCGAGTTTTTACTTTCAAAAAACTATGAGGTTGTTTTTCCTTTATAAGTCATAAATAACGGCGTGTCAGGTCCATGGAATTATTCGTCGCTCCAGCTCGTTTAATACAGGACGCGTGGATCATTTGTATGTGGCCAGAAAATGGACTATGAGGTTGTTTTTCCTTTATAAGTAGTACATAACGGCGTGTCAGGTCCATGGAATTATTCGTCGCTCCAGCTCGTTTAATACAGGACGCGTGGATCATTTGTATGTGGCCCAGCAGAAAATGGAAACGCGTATGCTGTGTTTTCAACCTACCGTTTACGTCCATTTTCTTTCTAAAAGGCACATTCTTCCTTCACTACGGGGACATGACCGACAGTTCGTCCCTGATTCGAGTGATTAGTCGAGTAATGCCGGACGAAATCTACAACCTGGCTGCTCAGTCACATGTCAAGGTATAGTGTCACTACCACGGTTTCTGTGACTCTGCTGCTGGTGTCACTACAGTATCGTAACCACGCCTCTCACTTGTAGGTATCCTTTGAGCTGAGCGAATACACGGGTGAAGTGGTTGCCCTTGGCACTCTGCGACTTCTGGATGCAATTCGCACGTGCCATTTGGAGAAGTGTGTCAAATTCTACCAAGCCTCAAGCAGTGAACTGTATGGAAAAGCGGTCAACACACCACAGAACGAGCAGACTCCGTTCTATCCAAGATCCCCATATGGTAGGTGCTATCGTTACTCAGCTTCACGCAAGCTTGTTGTTGATGTCAGACGTACATTTTATTCCCCACCATACAGTTGGCAATATTTTACTGTTTGTTGTTTCGGGATTTCCTTCCGGAGAGCGTACTCTTGTGCGATGATTCTCTCCGCATGGATGTTCAACCTTTTCGACCGCGCATAAGTGTGAAACACTGACATCACTGCTTATGACAACAGCCCCATTTTTCGATGATTATTGAACTTCGATGGAATCTCAAGCGGAGTGGATACACGTGATGAGTCGAGGATTCCGGTAGAACAGTCGAAAAACGTGATAGGTATCGATGCCTTAGTGATCTCCAAATGTATCCCAACAGCCCGATTCCAGCCGATGCGATCGAAAGTAGACTCTACATGCAGCTGTATAATCTTTCGCAGAACGTTGGAAGTAAGCGTTCTAGTTAGCCGACTAAATGCACCATTCAGAGACCTACCGACTTATTTTAAAGCGCGTGGAGACTCCTGAGCTTTTTTTCTTTTGATAACTAACTCCTTGTCTGCACAGAATGATGGCACATTACAAATGCGGCGTAGGCTTAGGACATCCTTCTCTGTGTGCGTAAGTGTCATCTGATGGGGCGAAGGTCTCCCAGCTGATGTAGTCCGACTGCAACATCTCATTGCTGCCCTTGGCCGTTATAGATTTTTAAAACCGTAGCCCACCATTTCCCTCTCACGCTTTGATAGAGCCTTTTTTCCCATGGCTTCATGGCAGCTGTGCACTGGTATTTGCTAGTGATGTATTTTAGTCCACGAGGACAGTGCGAAATTTCTGGCACCAGTCACTTCATCTCAAATAATCGTTGTGACGGTTATTCCTATGCTGTTGGGTGGCGAGATGGTCCAAGTGGTTAGAGCGCGAATTTACTGACTACGAGGTCCGTAGTTCAAACCCGACCTCTGCCTCTCGACTTTCCCTGTCTAGGCTTGGGCAATCCGGCAGTATCCCAGCCCTCGTGCAACCTTCGGGTGGCATGGTAGTTAGGCTCTGAAAGGGTGCTACAGCTGGACGATTACGATGCTGTATGCCAAAGTCCACATTCCGCATTCCTCTCTTCAGGATTCACGGAAAACCCGTCGCCGTTATCTTTCTTGTATAAAACATGACATCACGGAAGGAACTTATTGTCGTTCACCGCTCTCTAACGCGTTTCGAAAAAAAAAAGGCTAAAACTGCATTTGTTCTATGACCTCATTGTTTATCCTAGCAGCTGAGCAAAAACAGCTAGATCGTTGCGATGCTTGTCTCAATGGATTCAATATTTTGCAGTTTTCGTTGGATTCCGACAGCACTGATGGGTATGCTCGTTTGCAGAATCGTTTGTGATCGGAAGTGTAATACTTTGATGGATAGGAAACTTTATGTGTTTTGTTCTGGTGTATAGTTCTTTCCTCCTCTCTGTCAGGAGGAAACATTCCTCACCGACTAAGCACTTTTGGAATAACGGCATTCGTGTCCATCACGCTCCTTCCCCGAGAAAACATCCCCCGCTACCGGAAGGAACGCTATCTGGTTTCCCGTATTTCTAGTTTACACTCCAAGAGGGAAACCACCCTTGGAACGCCTTATGCCATTGATCCAAAAATATGAAACCGTTCAGCCGTAGCACCCTTTTGCTGTCTAGCTGCCACGCCACCCGAAGGAAGCGCGAGGGCTCGGATACTGCCAGGTTGCCTAAGCCTAAAGGAAGTGGAGAGGCAGAGGTCGGGTTCTAACCACTGAGCCATCTCGCTCCTTATTAATCCAGATTTATTGTGGACTGTTAGCCGTTGCGCGGTTCATATCGTGGATACAGCCGATGACTAACCAGCCTAACCAGATAACTCTTCTTGGGCAAACTTATCCTAAAGTCCACACGGCATCGTTATTCGGGGCATTTCACAGTTACAATACGGTTTGAAGGTAACGAAGGTTAAGGTTATGATGTAATGGCAGTGTACAAAATGGTAAGTGTCGAGTTCCAAGTAACCATCATAGTCTCTATTTTTTGATAAGAATACGTCCTTATCTTTGATTCTCGTTCGAGTTAAGCTAGATGAGAAGACTATTGGTTCGTAGTCATTAAGATAGAGAGGCCGATGACCGGTTTACAGTTCCACAATTAATCTGAATTAATGGGGGACGAGATGGTTCAGTGGTTAGAGCGCGAATTTATTGACCGAAACGTTTTTCGATCGAACCCGACCTCTGCCTCTCGACTTTCCCTGTCTAGGCTTGGGCAACCTGGCAGTACCTTTCCCGGGTGGCATGCCAGCCACCGAAACGTCTAGGCTTGGGCAACCTGGCAGTACCTTTCCCGGGTGGCATGCCAGCTAGCCACCGAAACGATCTTACAGCTGGACGGGTAAACGCTTCTTTGAATGAAGTAGTCCGACATTCTCAATCAATTGGAAAGAGTTTGGAACTGATTTGGAAGTCATCGTTTCAGAAGGGCTTCGAAAATACACCAGTATAGCAGTATGGCCAGACGGCACTGAAACGCAATTGAAACTTGAATTTTCCTGCTTACACAGGTTTAACGGAAACGGAAACTACGGTTACAAGTCACGTGAAGTACAAAAAATAGGTCAGGTCACTCAGGGACGGGTGTGCAAGCAAGCTGCTCCTTCCGGCGCTCGTGGTGTCTCGTCCGTGATACTTGTAATTGAGAGAGGTGCACACGTAAGGTCATATGTTAGCCATGTGAAAACAGGGACAGTCAAGTTTCAGTTGCGTTACACTACCCGCCCCCCTCCCAGCGCAATCCTCCGATGGGGAAGGGGATGTAGGGAGTAATTTCTAGGGCTTATCAGCTGGTCTCAATGTTGCTGAAATTCATCATGTTTAGTCAATGTCTATCTTACCTGTTCGGTTTAAGCATACTTTGGGATGTATAACACGGAATAACCAGTTCAGTAATCTTATTCGGTGGACAGCTTAACGGATATGCCTACAAATCCTGGTGTTTCTAGACCACTGCTGAATAACATAAAGAGAATATCTGTTTTCCGTTTGTCTGAGATACTCTACCACAAAACTCGATTAGTCGACTCCATTTCTCCAAAAAGGTCACGACAAAGAATCTGCCTACTTGTTTTGCATCAGCTGCAATTTGTAGCCTAGGCTTTCTTTTGAGACCTCGTTAGTGTTTTTTGCTTGTGCTCCTGCGCCCGTCACATGCACTCAGCACAAATATATGCTGGTCCCGCACAAGACGCTAACGATGTCAGTATTAATACTTTTGGAGGTTTACAGGCACTGTAGCTTTACCGCTCATTATTTGTTGATGATGTGTTTAACTCTTACGGAACGGAACATAAGAGACTGCAGCTGGATCACCTCCGTATGCACAGTGAATGATGAGCTGTCAATTTATCACTCATGTCCCGGTGTTTGACAATACGGTGAGTCATTCCCTGTATGGAAACTAAGACCACAGACAGAACATTTTTATTCGTAATCGGTCCGACAGTTCAGTAGAAGATTATCAGGAGACGAATCAAACGATAAACATGGCCTTCTGTGATCACCTTCAAATAGTTAGGAAGGAGAGTGCGGTTTATGAGGAATACAAATAACTGATCCATACAAATCACATTGTGTGGTTCGGCTATTTAGCCGTCTTTAACCCGGTCTAGTCTTTTTGGACATTTCCCAATCTAGAAAGCTAGCGGCAACTAACTAGATGAGAGTAATTCTTTGGTACTTTGGTGATCCTTGCTTTCAGTCAGTCAATGACGTCATCCGGAACATTCAACTGTTTGAAGGTCACGTTTGACGTGGTCTTGGTAGCAAAGATGTTTCTCCCTTTCGGCTTCCCATCCTGTCACTTTAGATTTTCACCAGTCCATGAAATCTACGGATGTTTCTAACGAAACTCACTGCCACTTGTTCGTGGGATCGTTTCCGGTTCATGAATATCGGTTTGGACAGGAAACTTCGGAGAATGATAGTCGATAAATTATGGGTGTCTGCATCATTCAAACCAAGCAAGTAGTATCTGGCGTTATGTACTCTTTAGCACACCAATTTCGTGCATCGTCTGAATAAAGTACTAGGGCATCTTGAATATCGTACTAACTGAAACTTGAAGCGGAACTTTTCAGTTGAAGAAGCCCGTTACAAACGAGAGAGTTAGCTGCATTCACTTGAGTCTCCTGTTACAACCAAAAACGGTGTGCAAATGAATGCCTTTCGCAAATTGAGTCCAATTTGCGTTCAAGCAGAACGCGAGGTTGACGGGAGCTCAGGGAAAGCGCCCACCTGATGAGGCTCAAGAAGGGTGAGATCGGTCTAGGGTTTTCAGCAATCTTATCAGTTGTGTGTTCCGTCTAGTATCCGGTGTCTCTTTTTTCAATCTTTACTTCTCATGCCAAGCACCCGACATGTCAGCTCGTTTCCCGTATTGAAGCTTGGAATAAATTCCTGTTTGGATTGGACCATGAAAGCTACTGGCTTCTCTCCTTTTGATAGTAGCAATGAGACTTCGGTGTTTCTGCTGTAAGGCGAAGTCTACTCATGATAGAAGGTCGAAAGATTCGTAAACGCATTTGACTCCTGGTGGGTTTCAACAGCAGCCCAACTAGGAGTTGTCCACGCTGTCGAGCGGCCGCCCGTAGTCAATGTAATGACGATGCCACGCCGATTGGTGGCGAAACTTTTGCGATTTAATTGCCGAGCTCGGTGAACAGATCACTGAACACCTGATCAACCAAAACAATTTCACTGGTCAGAGTGACCTACTGCTGTCCGTCTTCTATGGGATTGTGTTGAAATTGTTTTATCTGGCGGCCGTTTAATGCAGTTGTTTGGCTTAGTTAGATTTTGCTCACGAGGAATTCACCGAATTCACCCATAAGAGCACATCCCATTTTGAAAGACCCGCTACATTAAGCGATCACGTCCACAGATTAGGTTGTGATTGTGTGATGCACCGGTGTTATCTGAAAGTTCAAAGTTTGTTCCAAAATCAGTGACAAGATTGGTTACTTCATGGATTATGATAGACTGCCACCCTCTCATCATTAGTCCAGTCCCTTGTCGCAAAAATTTCCCCGTCCTCTCCGATATAATGTAATCTAGTACATTTTCTTGGTAGCCATAATTTCGTCCCAGTACCTGCGTTTCGTTCGCTCAGGTTGTTTCTCCCTCTGCACGTAGCCGATCGCACGCGTGATTTATTTACTCAATATCTTCATTCCACCTACCGTCATCTCACGTCATTTGTTTGTTTTAATCACTACTGCTCGAATCACATGAATCGCACAGTCGATTTTTCAACCATAAATCATTCCTATACGCACCCGATCTTGGTTGTTAACTGAGCTTCCCAAATAAATTGGAAATCACTGGAAGGACTCACCGTACGAAACATCTGCCATGCTTCAAAAATCCCTTCCATCAGAGTTACTTCGGTTGTATGGCTGTCGTGCCACCCGAGAGACGTAACGCGTGCCACGGGGACGATGATCGCTGGCTTGTTTGCTGAGCTGGGTGGTTGTGCCGACCACCAACCCATCACTGCGCTTCCCAATAATGCACTGATGATGTCGCCTTGATTGGTGATGAAACATTTGCAATCAAATTGCTCAGATCAGCGAACAAGCCAACAACCATCTACGCTACCTGAGCTACCAACATTCTCCTCTTTGTGGACGATGCATAAAATTTCTACATTCAAATCAGACTGATGGAAAAGTCTAGGCTTAATCCGGAAAGCGAATTCCTTGGTTATGGACCGACGTCTTTTCTAATTCATGCTCTTGACTCTGAATTACCGATGTTTTCACAGCAGAAGTTGCCGTAAATGGTTTTCTTGGTTGTCATCTTCCTCGATGATCACCTACAACTGTTCACACTCTAACCATCGTAAGGTGTCCGCATGATAAGAATTCCAAGAGCAAACCATTCGTGTTGCTTGTGATCCGTTTTCCAGCAAGCTTTGTTTTTTTTATAGAAAATAATTCACTTAAAAAGACTGTTCAGATGTGCCACAACCTACGACTGATATCTGCCATTTGCCGTCCACACACGAAGCGTTTTCTCAACTTAACCAAACCCTCAGCCCATCGAAACACCAGCCAGCGTCAGTGCTCATAAATTTCCTACCAACTCACCAAATGTTGTCCGTAATCCTTTATTAAAACCATCTTTTCGGCCATCTTTTGGCTCTCAAAATCGCAATATTTCTCTATCAGTAAAATTTCGGAACGCCCTGGAAGGTGTCAACTCGCCTTGATTCGTCCCTCAGCTGGATGCTGTAGAGTGGTACCGAGAGACTCATTCTATGATTATCGTAGGTTACAAGACCCAAGCGTCATTTGCTTTTAGCTTGCAGGTGGAATGTGGTTTGGTGTAGTAGGTGATCACCACACGGTTGGTTAGCTTCATTTTTTAAAATACATTTTTGCTATTTGTCGTGCGTTACACTTCACCGTTGTCCTACTGCATCGGTTCGCAGGTGTTGCGAAGCTTTACGCCTACTGGATCGTCGTCAACTACCGCGAATCCTACAATCTGTTCGCCTGTAACGGCATCTTATTCAATCATGAAAGCCCTCGACGGGGTGAAACTTTTGTGACACGCAAGATCACGAGAGCCGTGGTTCGGATCAAGAAAGGCCTACAGGTTTGGTTTGACGGTGGCACACCACCGCCTAATTGTCTTTATATTTTGTGCTATTCATAGAGTTGTAAGTAGCTTGTTGATGGTGACGAAAAACGCTAGTCTGACGGCCATGCGGTTTAGACTGTCTTGTGGAAATCCATTCGCTGCGATTATGCAGTACTACTTGATGTTCCCATGATACGTTTGAAGACGGCGATCAAGGCTTTGTCAAAGACAAACACTCTTTTCTTTAATGCCCTTATTTGACCGTCGACCTCTCAGTGGAGTTTCCCCTCTACAAATAAAGTAGCTCCATGCGTAAATCTGAGAATCACTGTAGATCATGTTGATTGAACCAGTCGTTTAATTAATCCGCACTTAATTGCGTGGCTGACGTCATGCGTTGACTGCCTCCTTAAGTGACGGTTATCGAGACGGAAGGCTCGTGCAGCTTGTGACTTTTGTGTCTTTGATCTGCTGAACATTTCAACAGCATGCAAGTTGGCAGCTCCGTTGGCCCAATTCAGCCCGAGCTCACTCTGTACCGCTGCTAGGAGGACCAAAAAATACGATTTTTGGATTAGGCTATGCTTTCGCCCAGGAATGTGGGTTGATTGAGGCATGTTGAATTGTCTCGCTATACCCTGAGGATCCCAATTCGAATGAATGAGTGAATTCGAACAAGCTGGCCTTCGGCAAAGGAGTCCTGGACTAGATAGCTGGTCCGATCCCCATGTGAGCTTCCAGCCCTACCCTATGTGCCTATCAGTAACTGAGAGCCTGTTCCTCTTTGTATGGTTCGGCCTTTATCCCTATAGCAAAGCGACATGCCGTGCTACCAATTGGAACCTGCTACATGGTCGAACAATGGCGGAACTAAGAGAGCGAACGTTGAATGAATTCCACCAACTTATATTTTCGAATAGGAAGAAAGTATCTGATCGGACCGCGTAAAACCCAATCGGATGTGAAGAGGTTGGCCCTAATGTCGCCCTAATCTATCACGAAGATTTTCTTACCAGGCCTTGCCTTGATTTAGTCTGCGATGAGGTGATGTTGCTCTGGCCGTTGTAGCAGATGCAGCACAAATATAGTTTAGAACATCTCTGAAATGGTGAAGTTGTCGCGTGCAGCGTCATTTGCATCGATGAGTCTGTGTTTACTGTACATCACTGATGTCACCATCATGTCACCATCAGTGTTCAACGCTGTAGCTTTGCTGCTGTACAGTCATAAATTACGTGAAAGCCTTATTGGGAAGAAAATGATAAAAGTGAATGAGGAAGGAACTTAGTGCCAACGTTTCAGAAGAGCTTGATGAACAATCGGTAGTTTTTATTTGGGCAGCGTTTCGCTTTTGATACGAAAGCTTCATCAGGCCGAGGTAAATAGTCAATTGAATCACCCTGAAGTGGAAAAAACCAACCTTGGTCAGAATTAATTTGAAACTCCCCCAATCCACTAACGCAAGATTTCGACAACCACACTAACCAATAAGAGCCGTTAATTGACACTCAACATTGATCCAGTGTGATCATCTAAAGAGGACTCACTGATTGGTTCTCTGCCTGTCTTATAACTTGGCGTGATAAAGCTTTTGTGTCAAAAGCAAAACGTTGCTCAAATAAAAACTACCGATTGTTTATCAAGCTCCTCTGAAACGATGACTCCTCTATCGGTTCCAAACCTTTTCCAGTTGATTGAAAACTTAGTGCCAAATTGACACAATCATCCCGAGTAGCATATACCTTCAGACTCTGATTCAGGCAATCTGGAGAGAAACTGACAACAGTGACAACCAACCCTCTCCTCCTCGAATGCGGTGACTAAAATGTAAGCTGTCAACTCGGTTTTTCGCCGGCCAAATAGCATAATTAGCATGTAGTTACTTAGTGCTGCATTCACCGTCTTTATTAGATTCAAAACCGTCAAAACACGCGGTCTATTTTCTTTGGCCTTCGCACAGCAAAATCAAGAAGTCCTGTAGCTGTATTTGGAAAACGGTAAAGTATTGACCCGTGGTACGTTTTGGAAACATAACAGATTCTATCAATCGGCATATCAAACTCCGCCTCATCCCTTCGGCTGTCTACTGGAAAATATACCGGCTCCTGTGATTACCGGCGTGCAATAGACCGGTCCCTAAACCGGAGCACTGAGACAGGGCCAAATAAATGTCTTAACCGATTCACTGGAACCCGGAACCACTTCAGAGAAGATCAACGTAGGATCAGTGAGTAGGAGTCTGGAAGAACAATCCTAACGGTTGTCTGGACGTTACAAGATTGTCTACCAAGGCCACCAATCATAAGCGGTGATTGGTCCTAGTTAACACAAACACATGTTTTTTACTTGGATTTTCAGGTGTGTTTTTCTGTTTTGGGATAATAATTCAAATGCTCCTCCGAATGGAAATTTGCCGCTCCCAGTGTACCATCTTCCAGGCTCCGTTTCCTCACTTTTTAGGACGTACTTGAGTTGGGCAACCTCAATGCCGAACGCGATTGGGGCTTTGCTGGGGATTACGTGCAAGCCATGTGGCTCATGTTGCAGCAAGACGAACCGGACGATTACGTGATCGCGAGTGGAGAGAAGCATTCAGTTCGAGAATTCACAACACTGGCTTTCGAGCACGTGGGCATTCATATTCGGTAGGCTCTCGTTCGATGCCATGTGAATGACTAGTCGTCCTGATGTCCTTACCAGTCTTCTATCTAAGATTTATCAAAACATCGTTAGTAGTCGAGTGATCAGAGGGATCATCCGTCACTGTGAGTAGATTTGATGACGCCTCCCTTGGTCCCTTAGTTTGCCAGAAAAGTACTTGAGAATAAAGTACGGGACTAAGGGTAGAAGGCTGATGCCCGGGGAAATACTGCAATGACGAGGCGTTTTGGTTTTCCCTGATGGAGTCCCCCTTGTGGGAGGCGATCGTTGTTTTACCCCTTTATAAGGCCAGTGGCAGACGTAGCGTATCAGACTGTCTTCCAAACTGTCCAGTGCCTTGTGGCATTCTAATGGTCAAGACTTGGCTGTCGCTCCCTTCCGCCCCCCCCCCC